GTCATCAATTCCACTAAAAGCGAAATGGTACTCTTCAACGGTAATTACAAACCACTTTCCTTTAAACTTTCTCTAATAAAAGATACGAAATAATGTTCGACAGCGAACTTAAGTGCAGCCAAAATACGACAGAAAGACATAGGAAAACTATACGCTTGTAAAGCTTATGTCAGCAAAAGATGGGTTCTATCACCTCAAATTAGGCACTGGATATCTACTACAGGAGTTAGGCCCATAAAATCAAGCCAAGGAGCAAGCCGGGTAGAGTTTAGTGGTCTGCTGCTCTCCTCATAACGACAGCTGTTCCCTCGACTTTTACATAGTCTAGGGAACATTTTTCAGAACATTCTCCTACTTGTCCTCTGCGGAAAACTTCAAGCATTTGAACTGGTTCTCTATCAATATTAATGTAGTACTGAAACAAAAGCAGCGCACTGCTTAATTCAAATGCAGGGTAAAAGAGCTTCTCAAATGCTTTTTTATCGCAGTTGAGTTCGGTCTTGAGTTCTTTGAATAGCCGTTTGAATGAAGCAAGAGTCATACCAATGCGTTCTTTGTTGGGAAGAACCTGCTTAGACATACCTGGTCTTGCAAATTCGTCTCCTTTTCAATTTCCATCTATATCCCCGTGACCAGGAACTCAAATGAGGGAATGTATGTATATTTTTCTGGGCCAACTTCTGTAGTAATCGGCGACAATCCAACACGTTTCACAGAGTTTTGATAGCCGCCTGAGCTTTCAGTGAATATAAGGATATTCTTGCTTGTGAGTTCGGCTCCAATGAAGTCAATTTATGGGGTTTTTTAGGAAACAACTCCCCCAGCAGCTAAATCGAGTTTCAAGGACAATCAATCATTGATTTTTCCACTGATTTAGCTTCAGTGGGAAATTATTCAGGATCACATTTAGAGCCTAATTTGGTGCCGTCTTGAGTGCACGACTTATACCAATCCTCGTTGATATTTGAATTTTGCTTAGGAGGTTAACCTTTGTTAACATTTATTCAACGCAGGCTCCTATATAGTCACTACATACAAGAAAGTTAACACCAAAACAGATGTATGGTTCTAGTGAAAAATCTTAGGATGTAAACCCCATTTTCCACCAATAGCTGTCTTACATGTACAGAGAGCCTACGACGAAATGTTCAAAGGCTTAAATGAGCACTATTGGCGGGCTTACTATCTTAGTAAATAGAAAAAGTTCCATTTTTTTTTGATTTCACGTAATGTCCAAATCTGCTAGACCAGTTATATACCCTTCAAAGAGTTCCCTCCATCAAGTCGCATAGCGTCTGTGGAAACGTATTCCAATTGGCGCATTCATTCGATTACCCAAAAACGAGTTAAACACGAGGTTTTCGGGGAAGAGAGACCGATAACTTCAGGCTGTACACCGGACATACTCCCATGTTCGCTTTGTCAGGAGTAATTGAATTCAGCCAATAGGGCATTTGCCGCTATGTCGTCAAAGGCTGATTTAACAGCATCCGATATAATGTTTACCTTTATGTCCAGAAAGACAACGATACAGAATTCCCTTTCGTTAAAAGGTTTTTCAATAAATGAAATTAGTCTACTTGACACAGTTTGGGTAGATTTTCCTTCCTGATCGTTCATAATCAGCCATTCTTCAATAGTTTGAGGGAGAAAATTTACCAGAACCCTTTCTAAAGCTTTAAGGCTTATGAACTTTAGCTAGTTTGGGCTACTGTGTATGGCCTTGCCGGATAAGGAATTGAAAAATACACCGATCTGCATGATCTTCATGCCATTGGAATGCAATTAAGTTTTGGACGGGCTTCAAAATATGGATAATTCTAAACTATTCTCAAATTGTGCAGGGACAGTATCATCTCGCCTTGTTCATACTAAGTTAGTGGCTTAGTTTGTAGGGTTGCTCAAACACAAGGTTATTAGACTAGGGGTCCTTACTCCTCTTGGCTCGTTGTGAAAAATATGGAGGCATCTATAGAAAAGATTGATTTGTAACACGTGAGATTATTGACACTTGCTCACGCTGCTACATGGAGTTAAGTAACCACGAAGCGGCTTTCATTACTGTTGTTAGTTCATCTTGAAACACGCTGAAGTGGCTGGGAAGTACCTTACTCATACTAATTAGAAGCTGTTTCGAGTGAACTCCGCAGCCCAGCCTGTCATGTAGTTATGTTCCAGAACTATTACATTCACTCCTCTCTCGGAATTTTGTTGAGAAAGTGTTGTCGAAGCAGAAAGCAAAAGTTGTGTAGTCCACCTCTTTCGAAAGTGGTATAATATTCAGTATTCTGGCATCCCCTGTGTGGTTTCCCCAACACTGAATCGCATTTAGCCTTACGGCGTTGCAGCTTGCCAGTAATTTCCGAACAGGTCTGTCGGTTGGAAACTAAGGAGCAATTTAATTGCTTTCGTAGGGGTTGATAAGAGAGCTCTGTACGAAGCTTTCTCCATTATCGACCAGCAGACCGTGACTTCGTAAAATATTATGGGTCCTGGGTTTGTACAGCCAATAAACTTTTTTAATCCTTTCAAACGTGTTCCATATCCAGTTGAGCTTGCTAAAAGGTTTTCCAATAAAAGATGTTATTTTCAAGAGACTGTTATTTCTGTAGATAACACTTTTGAGGTCGTAATTTTTTGTCATTTGACAATAAATAAAAAAAGGGAACGATACTTGCATCAATAACACATTAAACTTTAAATTTCATTGTAAGAATGGTGTAAACCTGGCAGAGATGATTCGTAAAACTATATCGTCGTGAAGCACCCGTTGGACCTAATATACAGAAATTGGTGGAAAAAATGGAGCTCTTGGGATAAGTTGATGTGAAGAATGAAGCACGTGGACGTCACCGAAGCCCAACTGAAAATATCGCTGCTGTACCCCAAAGTGTTGGAGAAACCCCAAGTTTGTCCATTCCTCGTCCGTCTTTGAAATTCGGTATACCACCAATGTCATTACTTTATTTTGCGCCTACAGTTTTGGGTTTTAATGCTTGTAAAGTTTAGAACTCAAGACGGACGATCAGCAACAACGTCGTGTCTTTGCTGGTTGGTTCTTTGAGATGAATCGATTTCAACGAAAAATCATATAGAATTCCATCCCGATAGCTACGTCAATAAGCAAAACTTTCACATATAGGGCACGTAAAACCCAAGATTTATTGTTGGAAAGCCTCTACATCCTCAACATGTAACCGTTTGGTGTGGTTTATGGTCCGGCGGGATCATTCCGTCTTACTTTTTCAAAAATGTGGCTAGAAATGGTGGTGAGGATTGGTAAATGGATTGCGTTATTGTGAGATATTTATGGTTTTTTTTTTGCTGATATTGATCTGGACGGCGTACACTTTCAACATAACGGCGCTACGTGCCACACAAGCAACAAAGCGATCGATTATTTAAGGGAAAAGTTTCGGAACTGCATCATCTCTCGAAGAGGTGATTGTAATTGTCCACCGATATCCACCGATTTAACACCTTGCGGCTTCTTCCTTTGGAGCAACGTGAAAGATAAGGTCTAAGTCAACACAGCTCGATTCAAGAAATCAAAGATGGAATTCGCGAAGCTGAGTTTTGGTGATAGAACATTTCAGAAAAAGGATACGGCGGTTGATATTAATGGCATATTTTCCTCTTTACATTGAAATAAGCATCAGATCATTTATCTCAAAAAGTGCAGTTCTTCTTTGAATATCAATATAACACCTTTATTGGAGAACCCTGTATCTGAAATTATACCTATTGAAAGAGTGATCTCGATGGCTTTTAGCGTATGCGGATGATGCCTTCTGGTTCATAATTTTCCACTACTTTCAAAGAATCTCTTTTATGAGAAATTCGAAAAAAAAATTCAATTTCGAGCCAAAAAGTTTTAGCAAAAAACGGTTTCAGATTCTAGTGTGCGCTTATTGGCATTTTGAGACAAAAAAAAAAAAACGAACAAAACAAGAACATTTCAAAAAAAAAGAACTATAATTATACAGACGAAAAAATTTTATTAAATTTTGAAACCAGGAACAGGACTATACATTTCTGAAGTTATTTGATGTACTGAAAGTACCACTTCTACTCTTCAAATCCATTTTGAATTTTTTAAAAATCCTTTTCTGCCTCATATAACGATATATATATATATATATACGATCCAAAAAAGAAAAACGTATTTTTGCACTTTTAGGTTGGAATGGAAACTTAACGTGCTGGAACTGTTTTGAAACCAGATTCGGATTCAGCACGTCAAACACCCTCGAAAAAGTTTAGTCCTCTTTCTGGTTACAAAATCGTGTTGGCCTGTGTTATTAATGACTTTAATGGCATGGTTTCCTCCATAAAATATTTGCCATTATTAATCATTTCGCAGATCTCAAACCAGCACCAATCTAGAGTAAATAATTTGGAAAGCTCCACCTCTCCAGTTTGACTGAAAATAGGTCACAATTTTAGAAAAAAATTCTGCGATAAATATCACAAACTAATTATTAAACAAATAATCAACTTGTATTTAAAGTGTTAATGGGCAATAATAAAAATTCATTATTTCCACTTCATGGGAAATATTTACTTTAGACACTGAGCTAGCGAAATTAATCACAAATACATACATACATACGGGTATAGCAATATATGGAGGTACTCATATAAATCGAGCGCTTTAAAACATTAATATCTACCGTTATAACCGTTGTTAACAAGTCAAATATAGTTTGGTCCCTGTGGGTGGTATGCAACAATAGCTGCCGTTGTTTAATGCGTATACACCGTTAAACAGCACCAAATCGAAATTCGCATCAACGCTTTATCAACAACATCAACCTACTTTCCTGCGCTTCAAAACTTCAAATTGTTTGGGTATAAAAGACTGTATATATATATGTATGTCCGATAGAAATTTGTAGGTTCCCCTCCTAAAATCTAAGTGCATATACACATAAATATGTATATATACTCGTATATATGTATACTCAAGTGAGTTTGTATATGATTTATGTGTGACTCACCGTAAACGTTTCGCCTCGTCGATGAATGGTCGCTTTTGTCCCTCGGTAAGTAATTTCCACTCAGCGCCCAAACGTTTTGATATCTCTGAATTGTGCATTTTTGGATTATCCTGTGACATTTTGCGTCGCTGTCCGCGTGACCAAACCATGAATGCGTTCATTGGCCGCTTAATATGGTCGTTCTGTTGTTGTTGGTGATGATTGTGATGGTTTGACTGATGCGACTGATGTGTCTGATGTGGTGGGTGTTGCTGGTGTTGCTGCTGTTGCTGCTGGCTCGATTGCTGTTGTCCTGCCGTATGTTGTTGCTGCTGTTGCTGTTGCGTGTTGTACGCTATATTGGCGACAGCTAATGAGGAGCTGACTATCATACTTTGCTGTTGGTTGGAGTGTTGGTGCTGGTGCTGGTGCTGGTGCTGGTGGTGATTTTGTTGATGATGACGCTTGTGTGACAATGCCGTTGTCGCGTTAGTTGCCGCCATCGTCATGTTGAGCGCATCCGATCCAGTTAATTGCGGTGGCGACTCTCCACCACTGCTAACCACACTGCTACTGCGACTACTGTGTCCCCCACCACCACCACCGCCGCCATTGTGCAAATGCGACCGATAGGGTGATGTCTGCCTTTGGTGTTGTTGTTGTTGTTGTTGTTGCATTTTGTTTGAGACGGTTGTCATTTTCAACGTTTATTCGGAACGCCACTTTATTATTGGAATTGCTGTTCTCTTTGGTGTGTGTCACAGTTACCAAAATTTTAGTTAACCGTATTTCAAGCGAATTGAAACAAATTTCTTAACTGTTTTCCGTACGCCTGAAAGTATAATACAATTTGGGATAATTGAAATCGATTAATCGATAATTTATATCATATCTTTAAAATAATTATTTGCATTGATTGAGCCCTCCAAAGACACACGTTGATACATATATTATTTAAAAACCCCTTAATGGCAACAACATTCCTCAAAGAATAAATTGTTTACTGTGTAATTGGAAAGAAATTAATGGACATAAATAAAATTTTCCTTCAAATTGAGAGAACTGAAATTCTAAGCCGCCTCAAAACGTCTGTTAGATTAGTATAAGAAGTTTCACCACCAAGGGATCGCACTTAGGAAACACGTTTGGTTCAGACAGGTTTCTAGCACGATAGATACATTCTTCGTGATCCTTTTGACTTTTTCATAAGAATCAACGTAAAATCCACATCTACATTGAGAGCAAGTGGTTAGAATTGCGTAGTGGCATTCGGAGAGCTCTGGTGCAAATCCCGGTGCCACCAAAAACATCAAAAAGTTATAGAAAATTAATCAAATTAAATAAAAAATTAAGTTGAGTTTTCTAATTTGTTGGAAAAAAATCAAGACGCAAAACTACAAATTGGAGGAGGCGCTCGGCCGAAAAATCGCTTCAGCGGTTACAAAGCTCGAATATATATATATATATATATATATATATATCTCTAATTAACGAACTTTGTTTACCCGAACCCAATGTGTGACGCGATTTTATGCGAAAAATAATAATGTAAGCACTCTCTCATATTATTAAAGATTCAAGTTGCAATGGCTTATAAGCAAAATTCTGGGCTGGCTATAGGTGGCTTCAAAATTAAAAAAAAAAAACACAATAAACACAAATCCTCTTCATTTACATATTATATATCAGTGTACAATAACAAAGTACTAGCTAAAAATTGCCAACAAAGATTTGATAAGTTATTTGTTTTTTCTGAAGGACCTAACGACTAATACGAATCTGATTAAAAAAAAAACACATCAATAATTTTGTAACTACAAAACTTCGGTCAATTGGTATCTTTCAATTTGTTTTTGTTAAATCGAAAAATATCAAATCCCTTGGAATTACTTTATTAGTCTTCCCTTCACATTTTAAAACGATCGGCTAAAATGAAGACGAAACGCAACTTAGCTGAGGAAAGGTCAAACAAAATTCCACCACAAACGCAAACAAAAGTTCGCCATGCGATTCTCTTTGGGTTTCGGCGTAATTTACAGCTAATAAAAAATATGCAGTAAAAGCTAAAATGCAATTGGAACGATTGCGCCGTCTTTCGAGACTATTTCTAAGTGGTTCCGAAGATTCCAGAACGGTCATTTTTGTTCAGAGGACGAGCCCCGAGTAGGTCGACAACTCTGGTGAAGCATGAAATTGGCGAAGACCCACGATTGACACAAGAAATAATTGCCAATAAATCGGGCTTGAATGCCATGGCTGCAACGCGAATATTAAGTAATCTATAAGTTAACTGCAAAATGGTACACCGCAGAGGTCTTACAAAGAGTTTTCATAAATTTGTTGGAAAACAGGAAGAAAGAGTATTTGCGGCGCTACTTTTGACATCATGGCAACGCGCTATCCCTCACAGCCGAAATAACGAGTAATTTTATTGCAATCGCTGGGATCCAAGAAATATGTCGAGCACCATATTCCTGCGATATAGCATCATGTGATTTCTGATATTTCCAAAAATTAGAAAAATTTTAAAGGGAAAGGTTTTAAGAGCAACGAGGAGATAATTAATGCGGTTAATGCCGAACTTGATAAGCTGAAAAAGCAAGATTTTGAAGATTGTTTTCAGAATTATAGGCTCAAGTAACGCATAGAAATCAAAGGCGATTATGTAGAGAAGATAGAACAGGGCAAGGATTACGAATAAATGCGAAGAAAATTTTGTTTTCAGTCAACTTACCGAACTTTTGTTAAGCCCCTCGCATGCCCGTAGTTGCACTATTAATTTTTTACTAGTCTAATTCCATCATTTTAAATATGAGCTGATTGCGGTCATATCATTTTATCAACTCTTTAAATACGATTTTTTTATTTAAAGACACAAACTCTTCTGTCATGAGTACTGGTCACATTTAGATGAAATAATTATTAGTAAATATATCCTGGTGCATGGGCTGTGCCATTCTACCAAAATTGTAAGAAAAAATTAGTTAGTCCTTTACCAGAATATAAATATTTTGTAGGAAAAACTTTGATCGAATTTTTCGAATTTCACTTTAAAGGCATTTTCTTCTTCCCATGACGACGATGGATAATCAAAGTCATTGACTCCGTAAACTGTACTGAAAGTATTAGAAATTTAAATTATGCAATTATGGAAGGTGGTATGAGAAAAGCGTGCGTGCTGGGTTAGATATCCAGAAGTGAAGAAGGAACCAAGGCGCCGCATTTGCAGACAGAAAAAGGGAGACCGAAATGCATGTGTAAGCAGAGCTGGAGAAGTTGGCCGACAAGGTAAGTGCTCGAATTTTCTACGAAAACATCTTCGCCAGCACAGTAAGGAGCTGCCTCTACGTTGCTTTTTATAAATTTGGCGTGGTAATGAAAGAGAACCAAACATCCTGTCATCAAACAAACAGTCATCACAATCGCGAATTGGTTCTCACGTCACTGTTAACAGTCATAACTTTAAAGTCGTAGATAATTTCGTCTATCTAGGGACCAGCCCTAAAATAATGTCAGCTTTGAAATCCAGAATCACCCTTGCCAGCAGTTGATACTTCGGGCTGACTAGGCAAAAAGTAAAAGTAAAGTCCTCTCTCGACGAACCAAAACCACGCTAAACAAGTCACTCATCATACCCTTAATATTATATGGTGCAGAAGCGTGTACGACGTCGACATTTGAAGAGTTAGCTATGGGAGATTTCGCGGGAAAAATTTTGCGAATTTTTTACCATTCTGTGGACTACGGTAATGGTGAATACGGCAGATATGTGAACGATGATATGTACGGTACGGTGTTAAACGGTAACATTGATATAGTTCAACAACAAGGCAAGGTCATGTGGTTCAAATGGATAAGAATACTTTAGCTTTGGAAGTTTTCGACGCATTACAGGATTTTAAAAAAAATAGAAAAAATTCGGCGACATGAGTACTCAAGCAGAGAACTTATTATAATGAGAAGGTGTAAATGACCGTATTTGGAACAAGCTTTAGAAAAACGGAAATGGTATTCAACACACTGTGAAAACAGCTGGCAGAAATTTTAAAATATATGAAATTTAAGAAATTCAATAAAATTCGTCTGGAACGCAAGTGATTCATTCGTTTGTTATATACAGTGGCTCAAACGTATAATTGTACATTTAATGTAGATTACGAAATATTGTTGCAAAACGGTTCTTTGGACCCGTTATTTTTTTTCTGAGTGAGTTGATGTTAATTCCAATGCAAATGATAAATCAGTATGCAAATGTAGTTTTCAAAGTGCGGATAAATTGAAGATTTTGGACAAATTTGCTTTCTATCAGGACAACGATCCAAAGCATACTTCACATGTTGCAAAACTCTGGCTAATTCACAATTGTCCAAAATTGCTGCAAACACCGGCACAGTCGAAAGATCTCAACGTTATTGAGAATGTTTGGAAGGAACTTGCCCATAAGCTCTTTAAATCTACTTTCAACACAGTAGAGCAGTTAAAGCAGGGAATCAGACGAGAGTGGAACAACACATCTCCGGAATTTTGCGCCAATCTCGTACAGTCGATGCCCCGGCGTTTAGAAGCAGTAATAAAAGCAAAAGGTTTTGCTTCCAAATATTAAACTCTTATTTTATATTTGAATGTACAATTATACGTTTGACAAGAATTTTGTTCGTTTTGTTCTCTTTTTTAATTTAAAAATATATTTGAATAAAAGATTATAAGTATTACACATTGCTTTAAAGGCTTTTTTAATAATCTACAACTCTGCATCAAAATTTTTTGCAAATTTTTACACTGAAGAGAACAATAGGTCCTTGAATAATTTTATATTTAGTGTCCAATTATACGTTTGAGCCACTGTATACTCAGAGAGCAGCTTTGACAAAAGTCGATCGACGCCAACCAATGCACCATTGATAACTTTGAAATTTCTTTGCCTTAATTGGTATCTACTTATTTAGATGTCTGACAATAGCATCTTCAAAATTGGAAAGAGTGTTCAAAAGAAATTCTTATATACCCGACAGCAGTACGGAAACGATAAGCAGTTTGTAGAGTTGCTTCCTCTTTAATTTTTGCTCGATGAGTTTCGGTAATTTCTCTCATTTCGACTCAGAACAAATTCGTCACTATAAGCAGGCCTTTCAGAACGATTTGAATTTTTTGGATGGTAGTTCGGCACCATCTGGAATGGGTCTTTCGTTCGAAGACAAGTTTGGTGAAACAAAAAAAAAAACTAATCACCTACGTGATCTATTGCCTACGTCCGCGAATGTCAAATTTTTAAGTAAATTGAAACAAATGTTTCGAAGCCAGGCCGAAATTATAATGTTTCCTACGTTGTTATTTTAAACAACCAAAAAAGTTAAATTTGGCTTGAACAAACTGTTAACAAAAAAATTGAACCTGAATTTTTTGCGAAAAAACTGCTTTTTCACATTTGAGGAATTTAGAATTTTAGGCATAACTTCAAATTTGCGAACGCGTACTTTTGTTTTATATGGTATAAGATTAGGGGAAAAAAATTCAAAAAGTGTGTATTAACTTATCTCTTTATAGGTCATAATAGCATCTTTTTTATTGCATTTAATTTGATTTGGCTGAATTTGGCGGCCTCTCGAACCTCCAAAGTGGCCTTTTATTTTTACGATTTTTTTTTTAAATTCGTTTTTATCAAACCAGGCTCTCGTAGTACTCAAAGACTACATCTATTTTTAATTTAAAATATTTTTTTTTTTTTAAACAAAATTTATTATAGGCGCGTAAGCGAAATCTGTTTTATTCCTCTTGAGTTCATGCCAGAAATACACTCGGAGGGACTGACTTCCCTGTCGAGGTGGGACCACAATTAGAAAAATTTTTTTTGTTCTTTAAAATCATAATAACAGCAATAGAAGTATATACTACTATATTCGAATAAAAAAATAAATTAAAATTATTAAAAAAAAATAATGAAGGGTCGCACAATTTCTTTGCCAATAAATTATTAATTATTAAGGAGCACACCTAGTGTAATGGCCTAAAAAAGGTGATTTTTGGGAATTTTTATAAAAAAAAAACACTTTATCAATTATTTCAAAATTTTAAGAATACATTTACACATGTTTCAAGAATATACAAAGAAGTTTTTGAAGAAAAATATTAAATATTTTTTAAGTTATAGTCGATCTCTCACGGCACGAAAAAAAGGTCCTTCACTGCTGCAGTGATTACGGCCTTCTCCGTGAATGAAATCTAAAAAAAATTATCGTTAAACTAGATAATATCGTCTGTACAATGGCCTACGATAAAAAATCAAAAATTGACAATATGGCGGTGTTTTAAAAAAAATATTCGAATTTTACCCAAAATTTTGGTCGTTTTTAGCCTGCCAAAAATCGACTTTTGATCAGATCAAAAATCGATAGGTCATTGTACGGAGAACTATATATAGAACAAGTAAAGAAATTCAATAGTGATCGGATCATTTTGTTTTTGAGTAATCACTGCAGCAAATTCGAAAAATGCTGTTTCGAGAAAAACACGAAAATACACACGAGATAAAATGATCGTTTTCACTCGTAGCTAATGAGACTCTCTAGCTGCCGAGCGGCTGCTCTTGAAATTGCTATAACTGAGATTGAGATATCAATTTGAAATTTTAATATGTTATTTTTAAAGGTGCGAATAAATAACGAAATATGAAAAAAGGTAGATTTTTTTGAAATTTCACACTAGGTTTGCCCCTTAAGGACACACAAATTAATAAGTAAATTAACTTATTTTCCCCTACGCTTTGTGGTATGCGTTTTAAAGTTTTTCCAAAAAATGGACGGAGGGATTTTTTTTGAGGAGCCTCTATATCAAGTCGTAAACACACTCTCCTGCCGCAATTGGAAAATTCCACTTGAATTTTTATTTAAATTAATTACAATTAATAATGCGCAAAGCAAAAGTAAGTAAAAAATTACATTGACAGCGATCAATAATTTTACTGAAAATTCCACACGATTTTTATATGTTTACAGTATTTTACCGATTTAAGGAACACATCAATTGTTAGGGCAATTCATTAAATTTAATTTTTCCTTAAACCGATAATTTTTAACACTTAAAGATACCTTTTAAATTAATGATTTTTTGAATTAGTAAACAAAAAATATATACCACTGTGAGCGAAAAGTAAGGTGAATTTTCAATTTGAGCTTCATTCTTATTTTTTAATGTTGATAGCATTGTTATTGAAATCTATGTCAAATTTCATGAATGTCATCATTGGTATTTTAGTTACGATTGTGTTTAGTAAACGACTAAAAGCGCCTTCGTTGTTTTTTTTCCTCACGATAATCCACACAGCACTCATTTTTCTTGATCATTTCGCTAGAATTTCCACGAATATCGTTCCCAAACCACCGTCTTCGCCGGACTTAACACCATGTGACTTCTGGCTCTTCCAAAAACTCAAGAGACCACTTCGAGTTCACCGTTTTGAGTCGATTGAGGAGATCAAACGTGAATCGGCGCGCCCTCTGAAGGCCATACCAGAACGTGACTATTTGAAATGCTTCGATAATTTGAAAAAGCGTCGGCAGGGGACTATTTTGAAGGCGACGAAATCGATGTAAATAGGTAGTATAAATAAAGATTTTTAATTTTTCAAACGAATTCAATTTACTTTTTGCACACACACACACACAAACAGTAGTAAGAGTAAGACAATATTGTGGTTATTTTTGTAAGCGCAAAACTATTCAAAAAATTGTATTTCGGGAATTGTTTGTCAGTAACAGTCTTTAGCAACTATCATAAAAAATCGGGTCGAATCGGTATTAACACCCGACTGTCGAAACGATTGCCTAGCCACTGATTGGAAATATTCCTTTTTGGTATATAACTGGATACATTAATGTTCAAACGAAATATTTTTTTTCATTTCTTTTTTTTTTAGTTAAAAATTTATTAATCAACAGTATTTATTTTCTATCCGTCGGAGGCGATAGCTGTTGCCCATCTCTCTAGTAATTCTTGATGGGGATCTCTAAAAAACTAGTTCTCTCTGTCCTCGATCCAATCATTGAACCGTTTCGTATGAATGGATTCGCTTGGTTAAAACGAATCTTAATCCAGTAAAGCTGCCAATTCCTCGTCTGGAAAAATTTTTTGGAGGGCTTGAAAACTTTTTGGCTTTAACGCTAAGATCTCCACTTTTCAAGCCTCGAAACAACTTTCTGTATGCCTCTTTAGTCGCCGCAGAACCAACCGAAACTTATAAAAGCCTTGGATGGGCTTTAGCTGCGTTTTTCTTCCAATTAAAATAAAAGATCAAAACTACACGCAAATGATGTTCATTAAGCACAAATCCGGACATTTTCGAAGAGACAAAAACAATCTTAGTTGAAGCAGATCTTGTTGTTGAAAAACCTTTCCAATGAAATATGTACGTAAAAGCTACCAAGTTCGGTCACAACTTGCAGGTGGAGTCAAATTTTGAGAACGGATCGAATGAATTTCTAACCCCATTTGATTTCTTTTATTTAAATTAGTTCAGAGTGACAAGTATTTATGATAAATAATATGGATTATTTAGTGAAATTTTCAAAATTTCATTTTAAATCTATATAAAAGCTTGAATGTCCTGAATAGTTCAACCCACAGCTTAAGTCACTGATCATACAGACCTCAAACTTGGAAGGTCTGCGGTGTGCTCTGCATTTTACGCGAGCATCGGGTAAGATATAATTTTCCGGAAAGTGGAACTGGGACAAAAAATTAAATACATATATTTTTAAATAGTTCAATTTACACGAAATTTGGTTCAGATGTAACTTTTTGCCTAGATCCACATGGGGCACAACTTTCCAGAAAGCATCTTTTTATTCACACAAAACATATTTATAGTTCGAGTTGCTTAATATTTGGAAAATACATAGAGAGTTCTTTTTAACAGATCTATATGTGGAAACTCTGCCTTCCGAGAAGTGGATCGAGCTGTTAGAAAAAGTCGGGGTTTTGATTCGAATAACGAAACAAATAGCCTCCAAATCCGCTAAATGCCACTTTTGAAATTATAATTTTTTGACATGTGACAAGTCAAAACTAGGAGAGTAATAAAAAATGCTTCGATAGACGCTTCAACAAAGCACTGAAATTACTAAAATTCACTATAAAAATTACAACGAAAAATCAGCTTGACTAATGAGGCTCATTTCCACCTTGTTGACTACGTCTAGAAGCAAAACTTTCACTTTCGAGGTTACAAAACCCCAAGATTTATTGTTTAAAGGCAACTCCATCCTCAGTGTGTAACTATTTGGTGCCGATTATAGTCCGGCGGGGTCATCGGACCTTACTTTTTCGAAAATAAGTCAGGAGCAACTGTTACGAGGAATAAATTGCGCTTTGGAGGGATGATTAATGTTTTTTAATTGGATAGTATTGTTCTGGACAACTTTTACTTTCAACAAGACGACGCTACTTGCCACACAAGCAACGAAATCACCGAAATTTTAAAGGAAAAATTGGCGGATTGTGTTATCGCTCGAAGAGGTGATTGCAATTGGACACCGATTTAACACCTTGCGACTCCTTCCTTTGCGGCCACGTGAGAGATAAGGTCTAAGTCAACACGTCAAGCTCGATTTAAGACCTCAAAGATGGCATTTGTTAAGCTTTTGAATACTTACAGGAGCCACTTTGCGATTTGGTGATGAAAAATTTCATAAGAAGAAAGCGGTTCTGTAAGCTTTGCGACCATTTGGCTGATATTGTTTTCCATTATGAATGGCATATTTTCCTCTTTACATTAAAATAAAAATCCGCTCATTTACTTCAAAAAATTCCATTTTTTTTTAATAAGAAAACGTGCATATTGGAAAACCCTGTAAAATGCAAAAATCTAAATTTTTTTTTGAAATTAATTTTTGAAATATTTTTTTATGGTTTTGCATATTTTTCAATGCAAAGAATTTGGTTTTTCTGGTAGCACACGAGAAAGACGTAACACGTTGATTGGCAGCCAGCTGTGACGCCGACTGCGAAGAGAGAGAACTACATTTAAATTATTGTATTATGGTTTTGAATAAAGCAACTTTATGTTTTGTTTATTGAAAAAAAAAAAAAACTTGAAATATAAATTACTTAAAAATATTTGAAATATTTATGTGTTTTACTCTCACCGTTTAAATTTTTTTTTTTGTATGTAATTTAAATTTCTTTAGTCGAAAATTTTTTTTTGTTAAAAAACAATGTTTGAATATTGCACTTATTTTTTTTTAATTTAAAACCAACAATTTTCGAAAATTTAATTTTAGCATTCGAAATTCAAAATTTATTGCACATTATTCTTAATTCTTATTAAGCTTGTTTTGTACTCAAAATTCAATTCAACTCATCACTTGTATTTTGTCGTAAGTTTCTCACAATCCTTTCATGTCGTATGCGAAACAATTTCAAAACGGAAGAATTTGCGTGAAACAATTTAAACGAGTAACTCGTCGTGTTGCATCCGATCACGTTGCGCGTCAATTGACAAGTGTTTTCAGATAATACAAATCGCAATCATTGTTGCACACACCTTTCGGTTTACAGTTTACGCAGCCACAAATCGACACCCGCATGGACACACACACACACACACACACGTACACCACACGCGCACGCATTTATTACGAACATGAATTTTCCGAAAGGTATTCAATCAAAGCACGCAAGCAAGGCTTTATCGTTTTGCTATCGTTTCAAATTCGCGGCCATGCGCTCGAACAATGCGTAGCCCACAAGTGAAAGGCACGAAATGAGCGACAAAGTGGGGAAACAAGTGTGAAATGTCGCGCGGTCGGAGGCACAAAAAAATGTTAGCAACAACAACAGGCGCATAGAACGTTATCAAACACAAACAATGTGAGCGAAACAATGCAAATAAGAAGAAGAAGAAGAACAATCCACTGAAGGGTAGTAAACTGGCTACCCACAACCACCCAACAACAACAACAACAACAGCAACAATAAACCGCAACAAAACAAATATGAAAACAAAAATAACTCGAATAGTTGAGAAAGGAGTATAAACTCTCCACAAGTTGCGTTGGTAGTGGTTGTTGGTGTGCAAGTCGGCGGGCGGATATGCCGTGTAGAGTTTGGTATAAGTCTGTTGGTATAAGTGTGTTGGTGTGTGTAAGTGAGTGCGAGTGCTTGTGTAAATGTGCAGGAAGTTGTGAAACAAATTCGATTTATTTGCGATCGCAAAGGTGAAATTCAACACAATTCTCTCGCACACGCACGACAGCTGACACATGTATACATACAAACATACAAATGTGCGAGTATGTGTCAACATACTCACATCCCAGTAAAAAATGTTCGGGTAATCAAGAAGTTCATTCACTACGATCATAAAGCGAGCAAAGAAGGCATTTTTGTGGCTGTTTTTCAAAAATAATTTATCTTCTCGCTTATTGATATATTTTGGAGCAAAGAAAAAATACCAATTGCTATTCCTTCAAAAGTAAGAATAACGGATAAGACATAACGGCTAATTATAACTGTTAACTGTTGTGAAATTCATTTTTTTTGAGTTTTGTAATCAACGCGGGCAGGTTAAAGGAGGATTAAAGTTAAGCGAAAATATACGATTGTTAAACGTGTTAAAGGGTTGATTTATAAATAATTATTTATTAAAAAAGTTTTCCGATCAATTCTCAATTCTGCTAATTAAAACCGTTAATGAATCCCAAGTGGTAGGACTACAATATTTTTTTTTTTTTTTTTTTTTGATATAGAGAAACATTATTTGAATTTCCTAAGGTAATTTTTAATGGCTTTCAGGTGTCGAATCGAGTGTTCCGTGCGCATAGCAAATTCCAAGATAATGCCAGACGAAAACAATTATTTGAAAAATTAAAATTATTTGAAAATGTAAAAGATTTCGTGCTCCTCTTTTACATTCTTCTCTTACAATTTTGAATCAGCTCTTCGTAAATGCTTAAACTTATGTCCAATAAAAACAATTACGGCCGACGTGTTACTTTTTTATTTACCTGCCGATGAAAGTGATGCCGAAGAACGAATTGTGAGAAGGCGATTAAGAGAACTTGCAAGTTTTTTTTTTGCCTGATAATTTTGGTCAGCGTATACCTGAAATACAATGTTGAGGCAAATTTCGAATTCAAGGAAATTTATGTTTTTTTACCTTCTTCCACGTGTTTGATCGCCTTAACTGGCGGTGGCAAAAAACGTTAACGTATGCCCTCTCAGAACGCATCATAGCGAATTACGATAACGAGTACACGTTCACGTGTGGCGTAATGCCAAATATTTAAATTTACAGGTGACGAGTTATACGTTTACGGAACGCTCAGATTTGCTATATATAAAATCGAGATCAAACTGGAGAAAACTTACTAAAAAATTTTCACAACAACGTTTTACTTAAAGTCAACTGGGTTGGCTCGAAAAATAACACAACAATAAATAAATTAAATTTTTTAACTTTTTCTTTTTTGCTAAGTTCTGAATTTTTGATATTACTTACATATTTTCACTAACTAATATACATATCTTGGCTATTTTGATAAAATTTTGCAGAAATCGTTAAAGAAAACTTTACATCAGTTGAGGATTTTGAAAGACCGCTTAAGTTGGCCTTTCGCATATGTAAGGCAACCTTTTACGGCCTTACTTAAATCTGCTACGAGTCAAAATTCTTCATAAATATTAAAAGTACCGCTGCCATTTATTTTATTTTTAATCATGTTTATTTAGATACAATAATTCAAGGCTGTCATGGAATCCAATTGCTGTCGGAATTGAGATTGAAACCGATAAAAAAATTGCTTTGGTGTCGTGAAATCCGATGTTATTGGTTTTATGTTCGAATCGGAATTAATGTCGGTTTTAGGTAGAACAGAAACCAAAATTATCGGTTTCGTTATCGGAAACAATCCAAGCAACTCACCGCTATTGAATTTGATTTGTTTAACGTTTTCTTTCCACTTGCAGTTACAAATCAAGTAGAAACGTGAGTAAATAATGGTTTTAAATAATAATAAATATTAATTATCTTATATTCTTATTCGGAATAGGGGAATACATAAAAATGCAACACAAAATACAGTTCTAATTGCCGGAATACCGAGCATCAACCATTCGAATTTTCATGTCATCATCACGAATCTAAATGTAGGTAAACATACATAAATCAATACTTCAATCAATTTTTCGTTGAAGTCGATTTTGAGTTTCACCCAATTAGGACAAATTGACTTATCCATAACCGTAAGCACATCATCCAAAGTCGTTGACACCGTGCTTCTACCTACACTTATGCTAGAATCATTCCTGATCTGATCCTTGATAAGATCCTTCACCCAAAAATCACAATGAAGCTGGTGGAACATTCGACCGTCTCAAGTGTCCGTCGATGGTATTAAGTACCATTCGGAAAGCCTCTTTATTTAGTCGATAATACGCTATGAAACTGCAATTACGCTATAAGTATTAAAAAGCCCTAAAATCAAAATAAATTCACTAACGCTGTATTGGGCAGCTCAAGTGGGTTGCTGCAATCTCGCAAATTTTTTCTTTTAATTTTCTCACTTCTGCTTTCCTCCGGAAACATAAAAGTCACAACTGTAGATGTCATATTTTACTCATTTTGCAATTGTCGATACACATACAAGCACAAAAAACAGCTGATTCGAACATCGGTTTTGTTTCATTTCGAAAAGAGCAAAACCGATACGGTTTCATGACACCAAATGAAATCAATATATCGGTTTGCAATTCCGCCCTGATTAACTCATTTTTTCTATTTTTAAAAATAAAGCATGAAATACAAATGCTCAGTCATTTAAAAAATATAATATTTATATTTTCTTTGTGTCCGATTTCTGCTCTTTTGGAATGTAAAAAAAATATTACTCTCTTTGCGCCTTGCATTAATCTTTTTGTGATTTTTCTGTAGATAAAGAATAACACTCCCTTTGATCTCTTTCTAGAGATCAAAGAGAACTTAAACAAATACTCCGTTTGCCCTTCATTAGGAGCTCAAAAAACGTAATCGCCCGTAAGGACATGCAGTGCTAAAAACGCGTAATAAATACATGAGACTCGGAAATTTGTGGCGTAATCCATAACTTCCAAAGAAACGTTCCTTAGATTCATCTTTGAATCATCCAATTTTTTACTGGGTTTTGAAATTAGCAGTTGTCAAAGTGTTGTTGCTTTTATTGGTTACTTTGGTAGTGCAATCATATTTATATACATACATACATGTGCATATGTGTGCCTGTGCATATTGCCACTACTTTGACTTTCCATTTCTTTCGTTAGTCCAGTTTTTCAGTAGATTTTTCCAATATTTTTTTTTCGTATTGGTTTAGTGCAAATATTTGTAAAATGTCCACAGTTCACTTTATATTGACAAAACTATTACTATTTCTAGTTTTACCTGATATTCGTGCTGTGCTTCCAATGAGATCTGCTGATTTTTATGGATTTTTTTCATAAAGAAATATTTTCTTTAAACAAAATATGTTTGAATACACGAAAACCAAAGGTAAATATGTCATTATATAATATGTTGACCTATAAATGTATGTAGCATACGTATATGTGTGTATGTGTACAACAAAACTATAAAGATCTTTTTCGTTATCTATTTGCTTTACGAATCGTATTTTTAAGGGTTTTATTTCCCAAATCTGGTTCAACTGCCAATGAATTTATGTGAGCAGCTTCCATTTGATATCAGAAATGCACTCCCAGGGCTTGACATTCCCTGCCGCAGTGTGTCCGAAATTTGAAAAAATTGTTTTCTATTCATTTGGATATTGGTCAGACCATGACTGGCACTCTTGGCTTCCCAATGGTGGTTCCTACTACTAATCACCTGGCTCGGATATGAGGGCTGCAGGGCTAATGGGAAAACCAAGGAAATCTCAAAGCGAAATTTCCGCGAATGAATGACGGAAATTTTAAAGAAGGAACTTTGGCTTTTTATGCTTTGTTCAGGTTCGAATTAAGAGCTTTCTTAGTAAAAGCTCTCGACTCTCAAGAGAGCTTTCACTAAGAAAGCTTTTACTTCGAACTCGAACAAAGCATAAAAAGGCTTGAATGGCTTTGTTTTGCGAACTGAACTACTGATTGGAGACTGTCTCTTCGCAAATCGGCACGCAATTGAAACATCAAGTGATGCTAGGCCC